GGGAAAGACTTGTGGCTTTTTTTTTTTACATTATGTGGTTAAGTGAAACATTTGGTTCATCCAATCAAAACAAATTGTGCAATCTGCTTTTCAAAACCTAGCAACCTATTTAAAACTAAAAGTTGTTTCACTATTACTGACACACATACAGAGATGCATTTCACTTTAATGAAATACAATCTCTAAGAGGGTCACTGAATACATATCATTCCACGTGCCTCTCTTAGGAGACTAACTACTCACTTCTACCTCTTTTTTTCTTTTAAAGAATTGTTTTTTATTTAAATTTAATTATTTATTCATTGATTTTAATTTGGCCAGAGGGGGGAAGAGAGGAGGAGAGAGAGGGGAAGAGAGGGAGAGAGGGAGAGAGGGGGAGGTGGGAGGGAGGGAGGGAGAGGGAGAGGGAGAGAGAAGACGCCAGGTCTGGGACTTGAACAGCGGTCAGCTATGTGGGAGTCCAGCATGCCTAACTACCATGCCACCTGCCGGTCCCTCTCTTCTTCCCCTTATAAAATAGAAATTAGGGTCAGCAGGTGCTTATGGGGCTGGACCCCACATGGCCGACTTCATGGTTTGAGTCCAGGACTCTGTGGCTTGAAACATGCCAGGTGTGTATGCATGGCCACCCAGAATCCAGATTAGAGAATGGAGAAGGAATTATGGCACGGCCATCCCCTGTGGGGGGGCAGGGGGGGAAGGGGGTGATTTTTCACTTGTTCCCTCCCTTACCCCCTTCTCTCTGTCTCTCTCTGATAAGTGCATGTGCTCTCTCTAGCAAAAACTAAAAAATAAATAAGAAAGGAAATTAAGCTTTTGTTCTGGTTGTCACTAGTTATATAATATTAATAGAAATTTCATTAATTATGTTTTTAAAAATCATACTCTGGGTGTCAGCTGGTGGCGTGGCGGTTAAGGTGCTGGACTCTCATGTGGTTGACCACGATTCGAGTCCTGAACCTGGTGACTTGCTTTCTCATTTTCCTTCTCTCTCTGATCAAATTAAAATAATAAATAAAATAAAAAAATTATATTCTGTCTATATCCTTTAGTTCCTAACTGTATAAACAAGTATGCTACTGCGTAACATGAAGAAAATGGGTCTGTGTCATATATAAGAAAAAACATTTTTTTCTTACTAGGTTCTTCAAGGCACTTACTACGGCTAGGAATACAGGTTCCTATTCAATTGACAGTGAACAGCCATGCAGATGATAATTCCAATATATCCTTATTTCCATCTAGCATTTATATGCTGAAGCACATTTTCCAGCAGATTCTACCTTTAAATAGCTCAATTTGAGAAATGTAAATTATAAAGAATGAGTATGAGGAAAAAATAGTTAAACAGAAGGAATGGCTAAATCTAAGATACTCTTTAAAAGTTTTTTAAGAGAGATTTTTGCTATAGGATACATGTGCTCACTGGAGAGAAAAAGAGGCAGAAAGTGAGAAATCACCACCTGGAGGGGATGGCTATGCCACAATCCCTTCTCCATTCTCCTCTTGGGATTTTGGGCATGCACGCACATGCACCCGGCGTGAGTTTTAAACTGCCAGGTCTGAGACTCAAATTGCAGTTGACTATGTGGGAGTCCAGTGACATAACCGCTATGCCATCTGCTAGTCCCAATCTAAAATATTCTTTAAAAGTCATACAAGGAAGAAAAAAATATTTCAAAATAAATCTTCAGCTATATTGGTTACTTGGCATGAGGCAGAAGGCAAACTACATAGGGAGTAGAAAATTAACCTTATACTTAAAAAAAAAAAAGCTTATATTTGAAAAAACAAAATATCCCAAAATAAAACCAAGTCCCTGACCTTTAGCTCTAAAAAAGTTGGACACCCTTTTTTAGCTTTTTTTTTTTTGGGAGAGGTTTTTGCTATAGGTTTTGCGCTCACCAGATAGACAAAGAGAGATACAGAGACAGAAAGTCAGAAATCTTCCCCCAGGGGTGACGGTCACACCACAATCCTTTCTCCTCCATTCTCCTCTCAAGATCTTGGGCATGGGGAACCAGCAGTCAGCGTAATGGCTATGACGCTGGACTCCCACGTAGTCGACCGTGGTTCGCGTCCCGGATCCGGTGGCTTAAAACTCACGCCGGGCGTGTGTGCGTGCATGCCCACCCCCCCAGGGGGTGATTTCTTGCTTTCTGTCTCTATGTCTCTCTCTGTCTGTCTGGCAAGTGCACACGCCCTATAGCGAAAACCTCTCAAAAAAACAAAAAAAAAGATCTTGGGCATGCACACACACACACACACACACGCCTGGTGTGAGTTTAAGCCACCGGGTCTGGGACTCGAACCATGGTCGACTACATGGGAGTCCAGTGATGTAGCCATTATGCCATCTGCTCTTCTCATATTCAGCTTTTTTATTCTACATCAAATCTTCCAAAAATATGCTTATTAAAATTAAAATGTTGCCATTCTGAATTATGTAAAAGATCTGAAATAAAAGGAAAAACAAAACTTTGTCTACATAGAATTCATTTCCTTGAGGTCTTCAAAATACTAGAAAATACATGTTAAATATCGTTTATGGGAAAAGAGGCAGGTGCATGGAGAGAATTAAGGGTGCGGGGAGAGAAATTCTAATAGAAGACACAAATTCAAACAAACCCAGATGTAATGAAATGAAATCTCTAATAGTACTCAGCTCCTTATGATCTCACAACAAGTTTCTTTTATGTTGTGTTTGGCATGTGGCTTTAAAGTACACGTTTACAGTTAAAACTACCTACTACAGCTTTTGCTCTTAGTGACTACAGAAGCTTTCTGTCACTTTATGGTTTGTTAAGGACAGTTTATAGAGATGCTGTCCTGAAGTGGACTGAAGATTAAGACAGACAGTAGAAAAGAGGGTAGAAAGACATTTATAAAACTATATCTGAATTAATTATAAAAGGAACTATTAAAAAATTTATACAGGGGACCAGCAGTTAGCGTAATGGCTCTGTCGCTGGACTCCCACGTAGTCGACAGCAGTTTGCGTCCTGGACCTGGTGGCTTAAAACTCATGCTGGGCGAGTGTGCGTGCGTGCCCAAGATGAGTGCGTGCCCAAGATCCTGAGAAGAGAATGGAAGAGAAGGGATTGCGGTGTGACCATTCCCCCTGCGGGGTGATTTCTCGCTTTCTGTCTCCCTCGGTCTGTCTGGCGAGCGCACGCACCATATAGCAAAAAACCTCTCAAAAAAAAAAAATTGTACAGAATTGGGACCAGCGATTAGCGTGATGGCTATGTTGCTGGACTCCCATGTAGCAACCACGGTTCGTGTCCCGGACCCGGTGGTTTAAAACTCACGCCGGGTGCATTGCGTACGTGCCCAAGATCCCGAGAGAAGAATGGAGGAGAAGGGATTGCGGCGTGGCCACCCCCCCGGTGGGTGATTTCTCGCTTTCTGTCTCTCTGTCTGTCTCTGTCTGGCGAACGCACGTGCCCTATAGCAAAAACCTCTCAAAAAAAAAAAAATTGTACGGAATTTCTGACCAAGCAAGAGTACTTGTTGGGAGAAAGAACCTGAACTGTCTTTATTAGCTATGTTATCATTGAAATGAGGGGGCCTCAGTCATATTTGGGTTACTCTATGCCAGATCACAGCCACATACACCCACTCTAATGTCTGACAAAATGCTAGCACATCAAGTATATATCTTATGGGATGCTCCCTGTAATATACTCTGCACCACACAGCAATCCCTAAAAGATTTCCTGATTAATGCATCAGTCCTGAGGCCAGTAGTTAAGGACATTCCATCGATATCTCCCCTGACTACTTTGGACTATCCAGATCTACTTCACTGAA